ATTACAGTGCATCATCATAAACCTAAAACAAGCTTGTAACAATGTGTAAACCTTATGGAGCTAATTGTGTATGGGCTGAGAGGAAGTAAATTCTTATATTTATTATTGAGAATTATTAGTGCCAATTGGATTAGGGTTGATTACGATTCCATGAATTGGTCCTCTCCGGCCAAAGGAATTCCTGTTTGTAGTAGCAAGAGAGTTCATCTGTTCGGCGTTAAGGGGTATTGATATTTCTGAAGAGTGACCAGAAATAGAAAGCGAACCGGTATCGTCCTGCTCCCAGTACACTTCAACCATTACACCCCTTGGATTCTCTGTGGACTCTGTGCCTGGGATTGCCACGAACCTTGCACCTACCGGTATCTGCATTATCATCGAATCAAATAACAACAAATAAGATCAATTGACATTAAGGTAAGAACTTCCTTTTACATGGTGCTTTCTCTGTTTTTTTTTTTTTTATTTTTTTATTTGTCCATGTCAATTTCTCTCCAAAATTATTATGTTAAAAGTAAATCACCACTTAAAAATAATGTTAAGGTAGTTTATCATTTTAAATTTTTATTTTCAAGAAATTAACTCAAATTTAATAGTTATGGTTAAATTTTTTTGTTAGATTTCAAGAGTAATTATTTAACTGAAATTTAATAGTAATTATTAAATTTAAATTAATTTTTTAAAATAAAAATTTAAGGTGACAAATTACATTAATATTTTTAAAAATGATGATTTGTTTCAACCCAACAATTTTGGGGAGAATTTGCATATTTAGCCCCCGAGTTATGTGTAGAGGGGTTTTTTTTTTATTTTTTTTTTTTTTTTTATTTTTTTAATATGATGTGTAGAGTTAGTTGAGAGTTAGTTTTATGGATAGAAGTAAATAAGAACGGCGAAAGTAATATTTAAACAATCTGACCACAACGTTGTTGCACTTAACCTGAAGTGAGTCTCCGGAAGTTAATGACAAAGTGACCAATCTTTGCTCAGCTGTAGCACTTTCCAGCTCTGCCTGCCTTGCAATATTTAAGAAAACTTCTTCAAGGGTAGCAAGACCAAGTTGAATATCAGCTATACCAAATTCTCTTGCTCTATCTTGCAGCTCAGCGAAAAATTCCTGTTCAGGATTATTAATGTAAAAAGGGAAAGAAATTAGTATAAAAACTGCAATAGATGCAACCAAAGTTGAAAATTTGAAATTAAAGAAAAAATGTGGAAGTTCCATGAAAATGCAAGAAGAGCTAACCGTCAACAGCTTCTCTCTGTCGTGAGGGATGACAAAGGTCAGGAATGCTTTGTTCTCCTCCTTTGGTACTATGTCCAAATGCTAGGAAAAAATAGTCTAAATGAGAAAATAACTCTTTGCAAATTGACAAAGTATATAAACTGGTTGAATCATTTGACATACATCTTTAAAGAACTGCTTCACAGATTCATGGTGGTGAGTTGTGGTTACTTCATCGCCATTATAAGGACTGAATCCATTGCTGCTTCCAGTGAAGCTAATATTAGCAATGAAACCTGTTCCAAATCGTGACTTCAACCTTATTGAGGTTCCAATGCAGCGAAGCTGACCCTTTGCCATGATTCCTATGCGATCACTTAAGATGTCGGCTTCTTCCATGGAGTGTGTTGTTAAGACAATAGCACGACCTTTCTTTGCACTCTCTATTATGTCCCATACATGCCTTCTTGTTATGGGATCCATACCAGTAGTCTGCATTTCACATGAAGGAAATAAGTATGAAAAACTAAAAGAAGTGTTCGCAGAAATGTCCAAGTACTCAAAACATACTGGTTCATCCAAGATGACCAACTTTGGATCACCAATAAGGGCTGCTGCAACACTGAGGCGGCGCTTCATTCCTCCACTGTAACTACCAGCCCTCACTTTGGCAGCCTCAGTGAGTTTCACCTCTTCCAATGACTTCTGTACAACCTGGAATTAAAGCAAAATAACTCACCATGATGAATGGAAATTTTTAAACGATCTTTCTATGTGAGGGAGTTTCATCAGTATGGAAGTTTTACTGAGATAACAAAGATGTGAGTTCTTAGTAACAAAGAAAATTAGAGACAAAAAGAAAAGCAAGATGTGCTTGGAAAATTTACTTAATACATACCAATTTGATAGAAGCTGGGGAAAGGCCTTTAATACAAGCAAAGAGCTGGAGGTGCTCTTGACCAGAGAGTGCTTCCCAAAGGATATCAAACTATAAAAGTACATTAAAACAAACAAAATTCAAAGTCATACTCTGTGTATTGTGTTAGTAAAACCATGTTCACTTAAAAATGCTAATAAAGGCATGCTGAGACATTTGCAAGCCTATATAGAGAGACTAGAAGGAAAAATGCAGATGTTTACATGAGAGAGACCAACCTGGGGGCAAACACCTATAAGTCTTTGAATGTTTGACATGCCAACAGAGCTTCTAATGGAATTACCATAAATCAGTGCTGTCAAGAAAGCATTAGTAACACTATCAAATCGGTTGCAAAGTCACTCTGACAAATTTACAACTGGTTAAAATATCAGCAGGAGACAAGTGGAGAAAAGGAGATGAAACTTACCATCTCCACCTGTCACTGGAACTATGCCAGTTAAACAATTGATTGATGTGGTTTTTCCCGCACCATTTGGACCAAGAAGACAGAATAACTGATCCTTGGCAAAGTTTACCCATAACCCCTGATGAAAAGTTCACAAATAAGCAGCAAGTTTGCGAAAATAATCCAGCCATGGAAAACAGACATGTCAATTTGTACACGTTAAATTTCCATCTCTTCCCTATTAAGGATAATGGCTTTTAATTAATAATAATACACTCCAAAGAACAAAGATAAACTAGCTAAGAAAATACAGTTAGGTAAAATTCAAAAGTTCAGATGGGAGAGAATTTTCCTTCCGTTGCAATAATGATGTAAAGCATTTCTTCTTATTTAACGGATTCTATAAGCCATACAGGCTAAAATAAACCAAGACAAATAATTCTTATTATCGACAGTTTAAATGACCAAACCACCCCTGTCTAGGCCAACGCATTCCACTTAGTGTAGAGATATATTGTCCCATGGGAGAATAAGGTATATTATTTTATTTGATCAAAATCTCTTCAATTCAAAGAAAAGCAATGAAAATATCAAAGAGTAGGTTCAAGCAAAATGCTTGAGAAAATGTTGATGAAAAACCAATGTGGAGTTTTTTGTAAATTTGTGGCTTTTTAATCAGTTCTGATAGAAGGTCAGAAAGAGGATTTATTACCTTAATGGCATGGTATGGAGAAGTCTTCTTGCATTTACAGCAGCAACCAATCTTCCTGGACCCGGGATATGTCTTTGCAAGACCACGTATCTGAACTGCAACATTTGGATCAACTGCACCTTCCCTTGTTTGTTGTTTAACAATGTTTTCCTCTTCAAGGACATCTTCATCATCAGGAGCAATAT